GTGTGAATGCTAGTTGTGCTCATAATCACCTTTAGAAACATATATTTAAGTTTAGAAAGTTGACCAAAGATATCATTTAGCTTAGGAGGAAAAAGCAGAGCCAAGTAGGTTATTTTTGTTTAAAAAGAAGCTAAGCCACTCACTCCATTTGCAGAGAGAGAGGTGAAATAGTAAGAGACCTAGAAGCTGGGAAAATCTGATTAGGTTGATGCCAGCAAACAATTGAGGAAAATAATGAGGTACCCACATTTTTTTCATTCTCATACTTCAAACAATTTGAAAGCAATTGACAAGTTAATAAAGAAACTTGTTTTCATAAGGCGTGTGGCAGAATGGAGTTTGGCAGACATTTCTGCTGCTTTAAATGGTGAAAACAGTTCTTTAATTTTTCCTGGATCGTATGGTAGCAACACTTGACTCATGTTATCAAGGGATTCAAATTGACACAGATATGTGGCTAATTAATTGCTAACCACTTATATCATCTTTTCTCCCTGATCCTTTTGCTGCAAGTTCTTTTTATTTTTTAAGTTAGCATTCAGGAGAGAGAGAGAGAGAGAGAGAGAGAGAGAGAGAGAGAGAGAGAGAGAGAGAGAAAGTGGACGTGGGTTTCAAATTTGTTGGCCCAAATCTCTCTGCCCAAAGGTATCCGTCATCTTGCCAGTTACTGGCATATCTACAGTGCTGACTCACATCCTGCTGCTCCCTTTTTAGAAATACTTCCAGCAACAGGCTTTATCACTGTGAGATTCAGCCTCTATAAATGCCACATACCTAGACCGAGAGGGCACTGTCTGGCTCATGGCATAATGATGACCCTGTTCCAAAGGCAGCTCTCTGTGAAACAGCCTCACCACCGCTAACACCTTTTCTTTCCAAACATGACCTGTCCGCCAGTAAATCATTGCACAACCACAGCAAAAGGTGGAGGGAAGGTGCTGGTAGGCTGGTTAAAGACAACCCCTGTTGCAATCCAACAGGTAACATTTAGATTAAAATGCTACATGTTTGATCACAAGCCTACTTGAAAATTTCACATGCCCCGGTGTCAGCCAAACATTTGTTGCAATCTGGTGTTCTGAGCTCTAGGAGATTCCACATGATGCGCCCTTAGCATCCTACGTGAATCTCTGTGAGCACCATTGATGTCTCAGCCTGCTCAGCAGCAGCTAATGCCTTCTTGCACCTTGAATTACAAGTTGCAGGATCGGGTGGGAGGTATGAGAAACTGCCCCCTTTGTGGAGGCAGATTAAAGCCTAATGTGGTACAGAGCAGACATACAGTGCACTCTAAAAGTTGTGACACTGTGCAGGTCCTGCCGTGCCGAAGGATATCGATTATGTAGCGTTTTGGTGCCAACTGAACATTCTCTGGCACTTAGAAGATTGGGCAAGAAACTTTCTACTGCCACCTACAGGCCAACATAAAAGGAATAAGCAGTCGACTACTTGGAAGAAAACCTTCCATCCCGTTACAGCTCTGATCTTCTGCCATGCCACATGCTGATGGTTAGAAAAATACTGAGTACATGAGAGGCAGCACATAGTGGAGTTTCTTTACCTTACTTACAGAGCCCTTTTAAGTCGATTATATGAAACTATTAAATATCATGCAACATATGCACTACTTAATTATGGGTTTTTTTTAAAAAAATAAAGAAGCCCAACACAACATTTTGGGGTCAATAAAACGTGATCGGGCATGAATGGTGGTACAGTGCTTTGTATCTAACAGCTTGTTCAGCATGAGGCTGGAGGCCGAGAACTTGTGTCTAACTAAACACAGTGCAAATTATTTGTACTCTTTAATTCTCACACTAAAGTGTTTTATTGCAATAATTAACTGTTTACATATACTTTCTCACACTATGAAAGGCAGAAATGGATAGCACTTGTGACTTTGAATAAGACCAAGAGACTTTTACCTAGGCTGCCGCTTGGTACAAATCAGCAACTCTGAGGGTTTTCAAGAGGATCCCACACATTGCTGCTTTTAAACTTTTCTGAAAACCTGCCTGACTACAAGACCAGAGTTGTCCCATTATTTTCATTGCACTTAAACTGATGAAATTTTGTAAGATTTGTTACTTTTACATCTAATACCCCCTTGCATTTGATGAGGTTGCTGCAACAGAGCAAGACGTGATCTTCTCATTTGACTCATTTGACTCGGTAAAAGAAAACCGATGTTGTTTTGATGCTGATGACAAAGCTTCTTAGCAGTGATTGGCTCAGCCTCCTGCCTGTTACACAGGGACTAGGCAAACAGAAAGGTCAATGGCACTGTTGGCTAAACTGTTCCGATCCTGAGCAGGGAGCATAGGTGGAAGAAGATGCTAGAAAATGATGGGCAAAAGGATCTGGGACCTAGAAACATGTGCCATGGAGAGGAAATTCTCTTATGGAACAGGACAAAGCAGCTAGCACTCAGCCAGCAAAAAGAAAGCTGAAAGAGAGACTAGGTATGCAAAGTGCATATTGTCAGGAGCTGTAAGATGGGAAGGCGGAATTTCAGCCTTGTTATGGAATTTGATATTTGCACATTCCAACACAAACAGACCTGATCTGCATCTCCCATTGTAATGTGGGAGTCTGCACTTCCTTACCCACCAGCTTTCACACTTCCTGAATGGTCCAACACAGATTTCAGCTGTAAAAACCCAAATAAAATATGTTTTTAAATGTTTATTTTGAGGGGCCAATACTTTGCAAAAATATATTTAAAAGTTGTGGGGTTTTTTTGTGGTTTGAGAGGCAGTAATGGGATGAAATAACATATGCAAAAGTGGGCACAGGCCAGAAATAGACTGACTTGCTCATCCCTAGCTGAAGTTCCCATACTGATCTGAAATCACCAACCAAATCTTTAGCAGTAGGCATCTGGTCTTTCATTCTCTTTGAAAGCAAAGCTCCTACTTTAAAAAAAACAGCCACCTCTCTTATATGCAACATTACTCTGGCATGGACTTGAGATGATTCTCAGTTGTTCTGGCCCTATCTGCTAGCAGAAGACATTTCACAAAACCAACTTGTTTACCTTAATCTGCCTCTCCTGCTGCTCCTGAATACATTTACAGTGTAGTCACAAAGCTGGATGGAGCACAAAGCCAGGACAGGCCTCTTTGATTTGGGTTGCTCAAAGGACAGGCGTTTGTCATCACTCTGAGTGGTGCAGAAGCACTAGCAAATGCAGACCACAGAGTCATCGCTCAGCTGTCATTGCAGCTTCAGCTTCTGCAAGCCAGACATCTAGAGACAGAACAGTGTTTGATATCTGTCCAAGTAGGTTCTGTTTCCACTTGATGTGATTTGTAAGGATACTACCCAAATTCCTGAATTCACAGGACTGAAATAAATTGCCAAATGTCTCATTATTAAACTATGTGATGCAGCGCCATCAATAATGGCCCTCTTACTGGCATAGCATTCCCCTTTAAAAAATCATGAATTATTTTATTTAATTTTTGGCACGATCCTTGTGGTTCTATTATGATTCTAGTGTGGTGGTTGTGTTATGATTGAGGGCATGCGCAGCTTATTTGGGGAACTAACTGATAACTTCAAAATAATTAAGAATAAGTATAATTGTAGAGGATAGTGGAGAAAGAACACAGCTCTGATTAATGACTTGCTACTGTCCCTGTTCTAGAACATGGGTGGCGCTGTGGGTTAAACCACAGAGCCTAGGGCTTGCCGATCAGAAGGTCGGTGGTTCGAATCCCCGCGACGGGGTGAGCTCCCATTGCTCAGTCCCTGGTCCTGCCAACCTAGCAGTTTGAAAGCACGTCAAAGTGCAAGTAGATAAATAGGTACCACTCCGGCAGGAAGGTAAATGGCGTTTCCGTGCACTTCTCTTGTTCTCCAGAAGCAGCTTAGTCATGCTGGCCACATGACCCGGAAGCTGTGTGCCAGCTCCCTCAGCCAGTAAAGCGAGATGAGCGCCACAACCCCAGAGTCATCTGCGACTGGACCTAAAAGTCAGGGGTCCCTTTACCTTTACTGTCCCTGTTACATTTATTTCAATAGTACAGAAAGTGTAGTGCCAGAAATGCCTTCTCCTCCTCAAACTTCCATGCATCTCTGCCCTAGTCGGGCTGGCGTAAGCCACTTCTTCCTTCCTCTGGTCTCTCTCAATTTGAGCTATACCTGTTACGCAGACAACTGACAACTGCACACAATTTGCAGTTGTTGGAGGAAACAGAAGCAATGTCAGGGGCCAAGCCGAAAGCACAACCACACTCCCAATACAACGCAGCAGTAGCTTACACACAAGTAATGCATGCATAGAGCTGTATCTTGCCCCCTGGTCAACGTGTAGAGGTTTGTGCTTGAGTAGAGAGTTGTTTGTAGGCCTCGGTACGCATAGCAGAACACAACTTTTGGGTCTGAACCTAAACTATTTAATATGAAATGCTGAGCTACTTTGAAAAGGAACATGTTTGCACACTGATACTTGAATCTTTGGAACCTCTGTCATGTCCCCGCTCAAGATCACCAGTGTGCAATATAAAAAAAAAGTTTCACAGGAGAAAAAATTAGCTGATCCCAAAACAGCTAAGTGTGCAAAGAATATGAATTGAAATAAACAGTTCCCCTGCAGGCTTCCTGACGAAAGGGAATACTAGATATTTTTTTTAAATGGTTGCTTATACTGCATAAATTTTTAAGTCAGATTTCAGTCTTGTGTGGTGTACTCTTCCCCGCCCCCCACATGAACAAAAGTGCATACTTGGCACCTTTGGACAGGGCATAGCTAAGCTGCATGCTATGTGATCATGAGTCTGAACTCTTGCTTTAGAAAATAAGAAGTGCCTTGCTGGGCCATATCATATCTCAGCAATCAGCAGGCATATTCTTTACAAGAATCTCAACAGCCAGCTGGTGCTACTTGGTCCACCAGAAACTGAGCAGTATTCCACCTTTGCTTTAAGAAACAACATCTGATCATTGTACAGGAGCATAAAATAACCACTCTTAATACCTTTTCCTCCTCATGCCAGATACAAGGCAACTTCAGCCATCTCCTCCGTGGCCTTACGATCCATCCTATCAGTATCTGGGATCAATTGCAACTCCTTCGGTTCATCCAGCAACCCCAATTTCACCTGGAAGGGCGAGTGGAATGACCTCTCTCTCTGCAGAACTCTCAAGCCGACTGACAAGTAAGTTTCAGGAAGCATTTTTTTAAAGCAACAACAACCCCAACCTGCTACACTCAGGTTTATTAAGGTGTGAGCAGGCCCCGACTACTCACCTCACCACTACCTGACCCCTCCCCCTCTCCATCCCAGGTACACAACAGTGACTCACCTGAAGGGAAGTCAGGTGAGCCGTCATCCACTACAGCAGGCAGCGGGGAGCTAGTACACATAGCCTTGCTCCTTCCTCTACATATTCTGAGAATACAGGGAGATAAACCTCTGAGCGGGGCTTATGTCACAAACCAATATGGCAGTATATTAACCTACAGGCGTAAGTCAAAAATGCAGAAATGGAAGCAAGCTCCATTGACTTCACGGTGGCTTTCTCATAGCTCATGTAACCAGTGTACCATTGTTCTGGCTCTGCCTCAATGAAAGCAGCTGTGAACCTTTCAAACAATGCCCAGAGATAGTGGACAAATTAAGGGTTTCTAAGGTTCAGTTTTAGGATTTGACCCCATTCTGTTTAATCAGAATGGTGTCTAGCTGCAGCCTATGACAGATGAATGGTGAGTTTGTATCATGTTTACAGGTTTATTTTCCTGAGGAGGCTTGGAGTCCGCCAAAGACAGAAGGCTTTAAAAACCTCCTTTGGTTTCCATTTCCTTACTTCTAAGATTTTATATAGATGGGTCTTGCTCTTAAGCGAATGCAGCTGGTTTTCTAATGGGCTTCTGTGCCTGAACTGTTCTTTATATACTTTAAACACCATTTTGTACACTCACATTTTTTATAAAGGCCTCTAACCTTCATATTCCCTCAGCAAATTCACCTTCCCACAGTACGAAAAGGCCTAATTGTTTTTCCTACTGCAGGGAAGACGAAATACAAATTTGAAAGTTATAGGACACTTTTCAGGGTCACGGATTCAAGGAATTACCTTTATATACTCAGTGAACAATAGGAAACAGCTGTCATAACTTTTCTATTGTGTTTTATTTAAAAAATACAAATCAAGTCAAGAAAAATCAACCTAGGAGGAGAAACACGGGCTTTTCTGCTGACATTTGGCAGCACCTCGCATAAAACACCATTCAAGTGGTTTGCAGCGATTGTCTTTTAGCTGCAGTGCAGGCAGACTTTCAACAGGTAAAGCTTCCCCTGCCTCCGTGCTAGAGAACAACATCACCTGTTGAATTTTTGTTTGTCACATAGTCATCTCAGGCGCATGAACCTAGTGGGAGGGTGGGCAGAAGGTAGCAATCCTCCCCACAGTTGACATTTGAGGCTGAAATCTGATCTGCTGTGGAGGCCTACCCAGGTGTTTGGTAGTATTGTTAAGTAGAAGGAGGCAGATGATGATTATAGCTGGCATATCCAGAATTAAGACTATAGCATGTCACAGAAATCTTCTGAGAAACCTGTGGAGGTTTGTCAAAGAGGCCCTGGCTGCTATGCTGACAGGCTTTCAGAACCTGACACTACAATATGTCTGCAGAGTCTTTTTAATCCAGTCAGGCTGCAGACTGTTTTTGTTTTCTTTCTCCCACCTCCTGACGCTTTTTCCCCTGTACATGCACATTCCTTTTATGCAGACTCCACGCTGTGTCTGAGGAGGTGTTGCCATGAGGAAAGGTTTCTTTATTGTTATTTTTAATGCCTCATAATAGCTGGCAAGAAAGAGGAGCCACGATCCCTGTTAATTGGAGTCTGTCTAGAAACTCTCTTTTAAGAGAGCCATTATCTCTTTAATCTGTTTTGGGGGTGGAGGGGCTTGGCAAGTGAGTTCTTCCATCAACAGAGGAAAAGGGTTGGTATCCAACCATCATTTCAAACATGGAGCATTAAAAAAAAAAAATCATTCCCAAATACTTTAGTCCTTGAATCTCTGTTGGCTGAGGCAGGCAACATAAAGTCTGAAGGGAAAGGAAGCGTTGATGTTCACAGATATTTTAAACTGTCTTGAAAGGTGCCTCCTTCTTAGGCAATCTTTCAGGGATGGCTGCAAAATGAATAAAAAGTGTGCTCGCTCAAGAATGCAGTGGTACCTCGGGTTAAGTACTAAATTCGTTCTGGAGGTCCGTTCTTAACCTGAAACTGTTCTTAACCTGAAGTACCACTTTAGCTAATGGGGCCTCCTGCTGCTGCCGCGTCGCCGGAGCACGATTTCTGTTCTCATCCTGAAGCAAAGTTCTTAACCTGAAGCACTATTTCTGGGTTATCGGAGTCTATAACCTGAAGCGTATTAGTTTCTTTCACTACCTACAGTAACCTCAACAGAATAGCTCACCTTAAGTATTTAATAGACACAAAGGAGAACAGAGCTCCTACACCTTAATCAATGGGAGAAAGTGGAAATTGTGGGCAGATGGAGCTTGCCCAGTGAAAAGTGAGAAGTGCTGTACATGATAAAATGTGCTTTTCTATATAAGAGTCCTGGCTTTCCTTTGATTTTGATTTTATTTGGTTGCTGGGTGTGTCAGAAGTGTAGTGACATCTGTCTTATGTCTTCTAACCTATAGCATTATCCCTGTCCTCTTTCCCAAACCAGGTGCTTCTGACTTAACAGCATTCAGTGATCCAAGAGTGGGAATTGACCGTCCTTTCCCTGCGATTCCTTCCATTTCTGATCCTCGCATGCACTATCCCGGAGCGTTCACCTATACTCCCACACCTGTGAGCTCAGGAATAGGAATCGGTATGTCTGCCATGACCACTGCCACAAGATATCACACTTATCTGCCCCCTCCATACCCAGGTTCTTCTCAGGCTCAAGGCAGCCCATTTCAGACCAGCTCCCCTTCCTATCATCTCTACTATGGAACGTCAGCAGGGTCATACCACCAGTTCTCTGTGATGTCTGGAGGAGATAGGTCACCTCCACGCATCCTTCCTCCTTGCACTAATGCTTCCACAGGATCTACTCTCCTCAATCCCAACCTTCCAAACCAAAACGATGTTGTGGACACAGAAGGCAGCCATAGCAACTCCCCTACCAACATGGCAACCACAGCAAGGCTAGAAGAAGCAGTATGGCGGCCGTATTGAATCATTAGCACAGCTGTTTTGTCTGCTGAATGGCCGAGGACTCTGCCAGGTTTATATATCATTACAGAGAAGCAATCCATCCAGAAGTCAGTATTTCCAGGAATGGTGTCATGGTGTTATCCAATTGCCATTGGTCACTGAGGTGACAGTATTCCAGACAAGTATACTCGTCCAAGGACTGAACTTCTGAAGATGAGAACATTTTAAGACGATGGTACCTACTCACTCACTTTTTCTAGAGATATGGGGAAGGATAGATACTCTGTATGTTTCCAGAGCTTGAGACTTCAAAAATAGTTTTGGAGCTCCTCAAAGCTTTCAAAAGAGTGCTTTGTTTGACATCCGATTTGGAGGCTTAAAGCCTAACGCAATCTTAATGAGTTTAATCAATCATTTTGTCATGCTAGTTAAAAGGAAGTATAGGAAGATTCTCAGAGAGAAACTGTGAATGCTTCTGATTTAGCAATGCTGTGAATAAGAGTTTTTATATCCTGGAATTAATTTTTTTAACCAAGTTGTATATTCCAAAGAGTATGGGAATTATGCTTATTTTAATTTTAATTTTAAGATGCAACTCGTCCTTTGCATAACATTTTTTTATTTCCTTTTTTGGCACCTTAGAAATTTGTAAAAAGATTTAATCTTTTTAAAAATGTGCTTGATTTTCTCATGCATTGTCAACTGAAGGCATGAAAAAGGCCTTTCCAGGGAGATGATTTAATTATTCCTTTAATATAAAAGAGTGACAGCCTTGGGTCCTTTTCAACTACTGAAAACGTATATGATGAGTTACTCGATATTTATGCTCTCATCATTGATTTTTTGTGTGTGATACCTTTATTATTTAAATATGCTTAAAGATAAGCACATGCATTTTGTAGCAACCAAAGTTTTAAAATATCACATATAAAATGGCTGGAATAATTATGGGTAATGTGACTTTTAATTATTTAGAAGTATTGTTTACATTTTGCTCCATTTCACTTTCATCAGGCATTTAATACCCAATGAAGTCATTTTTGTTGTCCAGTTGAGAACCCAGAATTATTTTAAACATTACTTTGATATAAGTAGTATCAAAAGTGTCTCCCTTCTTTAAAAAAAAAAGGAAGAACTTTGCATCACATTTTGCCACAATACTCTGATCATTTTAACACAAGTTTCAGAATATGAGGAGGACACTGGAGGCAGGAACTGATCTCAGAAGGAGCATATGGAGATTCCAGGACAGCTGCGTTATACTCCATGTTGTGCTGAACCGATATCTAAATGCAACAGAAGTGAAAAGTAAAATCAAACACAGCTAGATAGACATAGCAAAGTACTTCATGCTGATAAATTATGGGCAAAATCTGACAAGCTCCTGTACATTCTACTTTTATCGGTTGGGAATTGCAAGAACTTGTTTCAGGCTGTGGTCCTAAGCACAATCATCTGGACACGATGCACTAGATACACAGACACAAATCTCTTTACTACAGATTTGACAGCCAAAGGCAACCTTAGGAGGTTGCACATTTGAGCAAAGGAATTGCCTGAGGGACTGGTAGCCCTTGTCTTCTAGCCATCTCCCTACTCACCCATCCCAAATTAATTTTTCATCCTGTAAGAGAAAAGATATGGATATCCATCTCTTTTCTGCTGTAACTGGAAAAGCAACTTCCAAGTGGAAGAAATGGTAGCAGGAGAATGGTTACACCTAACACCATTGCTTTGTTCAAACTTGCCGTCTCAAGGTTGCTTTTGGTTAAAAATTATTGTCACTGGACAGCTCATCACATCCAGTTTAGGCCTCAGTTCTTGACAAATGAATTTAGAATCTGGAACAGACTAGCATATGCAGCATCTTGCAAAGCCAAGCCCATAGTCAGGAAAGGAAATTTAAATCAGTACAATTCAAACATGGTACATGGGATAGGCCACCCTGTAGCCAATTTTTACTTTCTTCCCCACGCCCCGCAGTAATAACTTAAATGGAACATTCACTGTTGTCTAATACACCTCAAACATATCGGACATCACTGTAAATTATAAGGCACTGTTTTATGTGAGGGTTTGGTCTGAATGCAATTGTACATGTCTTTGATTGTACATTAAATGAATACTGCTGAAGTCAACAAATTCAGAATTACCTTCTGATTAAGTAATGGACCTTTAAAAATTAGTGGAACAATTGCAGATCAACTCTTCTGAGTATTTGAAAGCAGGCCTTTAAATCAGTGTTGGGTGTTTAACAAAATTAATAAAGGATTCGGTTTAGAAAGATCCTCGGCTGCAGGCAGCAAAACAGCTGGACTTATTTAAAATATTTGTTTCTTTTTATATATATATTATATATATATTTGTAGATTTTGCTTTTGCATTATTTGTGTGTCTGATGCAGTAGCACTTTGAGATAAAATGTTACAGAGTGAAACAGCTGATGCTATCAACAAGGTCAACTTACTGCAGAAAATTATTTCAGCTGATCTCAGCCAAAGCTCAAAAGATCATACAGTGTCATTTCTCCCCCTCCCCACTTTCAGATTCATATTTTGCAGTTGCGTGTTTTGCCATTTTTCAGATGTGTGTTTTACAATTGGAGGATTTGAGTTTCTTTTTTAAAAAAGAAATGGAAGAGCCAATTCATTTCAGTGCTTCTGAAATGAAAAAAAGGTATTTCAAAATAGTTAATTGTACAAAACTGTTACAATTACCTTGAATTTTAATGCATTGATTTCTTACGTCTTTAGTGAAATTTAAATCTGTCTTTCATGGTAACTGTTCCACAGGATTCAACTTAAAATACAATGCCTTTTCCTTTATGCTATAAGTGCTTAATGTGGATAATCTGTTTAGATAAAAATGCCAGTCATTTATTATAGATATCAGCAACTAAGGCCACTATATACTCTCTATGATTTATGCCTAAACAAATGTATGCCATTTTATCCAGTGTTAGAATAATTCATTGTCTCAACTACACCTGCACTGTTAATGATTAACTGCCCACTCCTTTGCAGGCTTATTCAGAAGTAAGTCCCACTGTGTTCAGCAGTGATCATTCCTAGGTATTGGTGCATAAAATTGCAGCCTGATTTTACCAGCTTCTGCCACAAATGGGCTGAGATGGAATCTGGCCAGCTTGGAGTGTGGCATTGCTAGGGAAGAGAACAAAACATTCTGAGGATTACTACAGTTTTTGAAGCCCTACAGATGCCAGGGGTCAGAGAGCCACAGCTCAGCACTTCATAAAGAGAAGTGCAGACAATCCAGAGGAACTTGACCAACTGTTTATATGAGCTCAGGCTATTTGTCCACCTTGCCCAGCAGCATCTAATCTGAGTGACAGCAACTCTCCAGGGTCTTTGGTGCAGAGAGGTCTGTGCATTCACCTGCTACCTCCCTTCATCCGGGGAACAGCCGTGGTTCATTGGTAGATCATCTGCTTTGCATGCAGAATGTTCAATCTCCAGGCAGGGCTGGCTGCCGAAAGCCAGAAAAGCCACTGCTATTCAGTGTAAACAATACTAAGCTACATGGGCCAAGGTTTGACTTGGTATAAGGCAGTGTCCTATGTTCTTATGCACCTGCTCTTAACAGGACATGGCAGGGGTTGTACCTAGAAGGACCTTTTGCATGTAAAGCATGTGTTCTCTCATTAAACTACCAATCAGTTTCTGTCAAGAGACTACCCACTTTCCAAATGTTTTTCTTTCTCATAGCTGAATTGTCTGCAGATTTAGAATCCTAAATATGTCTAGATTTAGGTTTAAGAGACTTGGACTTTATAATTAGGCTGTATGCATTCTCTTTGATTTTTGTTGTTGTTAAAAAATATCCCCTTGGTGATTTAATTTTACAAGGTTTTGATCAGGGCTCTTGATGTCTAAGACCTTACCTGCACATCTTTCTGAGGTTGTACCATTTCAGAATGTGACATCTTCTGAATTGATGCTATCTCATGAACACGTAGGTCAAATCTATATCATTTTATATTGGGCTTGCCTAAGGAAGGATAAGAGTAGTTACTAGGGGAGGGACAGTAGTAATCTCAATTTTTCTGCATGCCTCTTGGAGTGTAATGAAATGTGATAGCTAATATTTGGAGGGGGGCGTCTGTGAAACTCCAGATTTTTCATAGGATTTCCCCTTCTGTTGAATTCCTGCTTCTTGGACCTCAGGCTCATGCATGAGCTGATTTTAGAATGGTCAAATGCAAAAGAGAACAAGGCTGCTGGATCTTTAATGCCTGTGCAGAAGAAGGAATTTCGCATGTGTGGGAAATGTCATTGCTCCAGATGTTGCTGAACTGCAACTCCCATCAGCCCCATCAAGCATGGGCAGTGGCCAGAGACAATGGTAACTGTGGATCAACAACATCTGGAGGGCCAAAGGTTCCCCGCAGCTGAACTACAACTGCATAATTCCCTCTCCTACACAGCTGTTAAAGGTGCAGGAGCCCTGTTTTCTTTTGCATCTGAGTCACCTGCCTTAACAGTATTTGGGAAGGCTCAAAGTACATCTCCTTTTATAGGAGGCATTTCCCAGGGGCGCATTTCGAAAAGCATTCCAAACTGGCCACTGCCAGAGACAGATTGTAAGGATTAAGTCCACCTAGCTCCACAGAATAACCTGCACGATCAACTGCTCACATACTTAAACTTATGGAGAAGGGTTTTGGTTTTCTAAAAACTGGAAATGGGGCCAGGAAGCTGATGGTCTATTAAGAGCTCAAAGTGAACTGGATCACTACTTTGCAGCATGTGAAAAAACATTTTCTATCTTCATGTATATCCAAATTAACTAAATATTAGAATTCCTGAAAGAAAAGTTCCCTATTTAAAGAATTTATTTTTTTTTAATGTTGCTCTCTAAGAGAGATGTTCGGGTATTCCCTTTTGTAAAATATAAATGTATTTGAAACTATTATAATGACCAGATAATGGTGAATAATTAGGAACTCATTTTTATTTAAATGCATTGCACAATCCAGACACACCCATGAAGCTGAATCCGTACGTGTTAAAGCATTTTAAATCAGTTTTTGCTTCAGCTGAGATTAACTGGCTTTACCATTCCTTTTTATTGCAGCTACTTTTGGCTTTACCAGCAGAGATCCTAAACATACTTGTTAGGAAAACAAATCCCACTGTTTTCAGTGGGGCTTAATTTTTGCCCTGGAAATAACTTTTCCCCCACATTTTAATGCAGTTGTGCAAATAGATCTTATTTATTCCCGTGTACTTAGATTTTTATAAACTGGTTAAACTGATCTTCCACAGGTGTCCCACAATCAAAAATAACAGGTATTTATAATATTTGTTACGTTTTTCCCAGATGACACTCACTCATTAATTGCTCAACAAAACTTTGTTTATAACATTTTATTTTATAAGGCTTGTTGTGCCTTGCAACCTTTTCTATTTAAAAAAAAAAGTTGGTCGATACTATCCCATCATCATTTTTTGTTTCATATATATCAAAGGGTGCATCAGGAGAATGTTAATTGTATTTCTGTATGTAAATAGGTTTTAAAGGCATCATAGAAACATATTGTTAAAGCTTGTATTTGACATTTTTCATTCGCTACATCTTTGCTGAACTTGCCTTTGCTAAATACTGTAGGAAACTTGTTTTATTTCCAACTTAATTATTTTAGGTTTTGAGATTAACTATTTTAGTTACTTTTGTCAGCAGTTAACAGCATGGTTTTGTGTGGCACATCAAAATCTCTTCATTTTTTTGTTGTAGAAGAAAATGTGCAAACAACTGTGGGTTATTTGTGGTATTCTGGAGTTATCAGATACAAATTCAGGAAAAAAAGTGTTTCAGTAAGAAATGACTGTGTGAACACAATGGAAACAGGGCCATTTTGGAACATATATTTGGATCTGTGAGTTTAGCATTTTCTGGGTGTATTTACAATCAACTTGTCATGCATATTGGAATTGCCACATCCTCTCCTGTCGTATGGATCACTTTCAGAATGGAGATTTTTTTCTCTCTCCAAGCGATAGCAGTTTTCTCTAAGAAGAGAACAGGAGCCTATTTCTCCGCACTCCACCATGTCTTGTTTAGATAATAGTATCTGAGTAGGCACTTCCTCTATGTTACAAGGTCAGTGTGTCCAGGAGAATTCATTGTGACTAGCATGCAGAGCAGCTGGACTGCTGCATTAGTTCTCATGGAAACTTGCTTTCTTTGTACCACAAGTTCTTCTGTACATTCAATATTATAATTAGTGTGAATGACAAATAAAACTGTTTGAGAAGTATACAAGCATTCAGTTCCTTCATTATTTTCCTGAGCCACGTGAATTTGGTTTTGGTAGCCAGGGTGCAAAGGAAGGACTATCTTCTTGCAACAAAGGAGTTTACCGAATTTTGTTGGCGATTGGTAACCTGCCATTATTTGTAGCTGCCGGTGAACCATCCCATTCCATCCCCTTCTGGCACATATGGAGAACCTCTCCCTTCACACCAAGCTTTGGAAACTAAGAAGCCATGAGAAGCTCTCTGTTTCTGAATGTCTCCAAAGGCTCAGGAGAAGCTGATCCCTCGTTTCCTCCCATGTTTTCTGTGTGCACCATAATATTTTCTGCTGGGAGGGAGAGCCCTGGTCTGTCTGTCTCTTTCAGCACCAACTGAAATAGCCTTCCTCTTCTGAGTTTTCCCAGACGCAAGGTGGGCTTGCTTATGCACCACCACAAAAAAGGCCACAGACTTGCATCTTCTAACTTAGAGGTATAGTTGGAAATTTAGAAATAATTACTATGAGTTGTATCCAGCTAAATCATAGTGATAGCAGAGCTGATGAAATCAATTGATATGACTAACTTAAGTCCATTGGTTTCAATAGGTCTACTTATGATTTAGTTGGAGATACCCTATAATTTAATTAGGCATGCATCTCACCGTAGGAGGGAAGGCTGTAACAACCAGATGGCCAGTTCAGTCTGCTTACAAACTGCTAACTGTTGATGGACAACTTGAAGGCCTCTGCTCTCTTGTCTTATAAGGTTCTTTATAATTGAACCACAACTTCAAAGAAGGGACTATAGAGTAGAGTACACAGCCATTCTACTCTGCTGTACTTAGAATTCTGAGAAGGAATATCTCCTTGTATGCTAGACAACGTGCAGCAAGTGTTTACTAGAGAGAAATCTGTAGCTCCCACTGGCCATTCAGCAATGACATCTCTGGACCACAACAGCACCCTGTTGATGAAAACACACCAAGGATGCAAATGGGAAAAGACTATGCCCCCATGTTGGTGGTTTTTAAATGATAAAGCACTGATTTAAGCACCTGTGTATCCATCACAGCTGGCATTATATCTTGTATCTGTGGCCAAATACAAAGCAGCGTGAGAATTTGTCTAAATTTGCAGACAGACATTAGTAAAGTAGACTGTGGCCTATGAAAGTTTATGCCGTAATAAACACGTTAAGTCTTTAAGGTGCCACAAGATGCACAACTGAAACTGAAACATGGAGGATACGGTCCAGCCATATATATTTTTAAGTTCCCTTTTATCCAGTGTACTTTACTCTGGCATGTTTAACTCTCTCATTGATCACAGTTGAAATAAAAGGGCTTAGCTGTAGCTGGATCTTGCTGTGAAACCCAAATCCATAGTTCTTCACAGATATACTCAACAGCTGACTTAAGATAGGGCTGCCATACAAAAAAGCGCTCAACAATTTTGGGGTGTCCTGTTCTTTACTTTTTGAAACAAGGCAACCCTACTTAAGAACACAATGAATATAAGAACCCCCCCTTCTGGATTAAACTAAAGGCCTATCTAGTCCAGCATCCTGTTCTCACATTGGCCAACCAGATGCCTATAACAAGCCCACAAGCTGGGCCTGAATGCAACCTCACTCACAAGTTGTGAGCCTCAGCAACTGGTGTACACAGGTATACTGCCTGTAGCAGTGGAGACAGACTTCAGGAGCTTGCTCTCTGGTTTGAAGTTGCTGGGGCATCTGAAAGTCTCCCAGACTACTATTAGTACGAGTCATTGTCTGGGAATTGTTTGGGTTTGGGATAAAATGATAAACTAAATTAAGAAGAAAATTTAATACACAAGCATTAAAATGAAGCTTTCTGTCCGACATAGAATAAATAATGTTTGGCCTCAAACTTTTAAAAGCATGGAATCATAGATCTGATATGCAGTAAAGCCCATCTTTTTTTCAACAGGCCTTGTGAACATTTTTTCCTATTTTTTTAAAAAAAGCTAGATTTCCTGTAGAGGTTTAATTTCAGTCTTGCAAAGAAGAGAGTGTTAACTAATTTTTTCCATATTGATAATATTTTATATTGCTGCAAATTAATTACTGTTGTGTTTTAGCCTGAGTGATATCCAAGAGTTTGTAGCTAAAAGCACTTTGGAATTAAAATCAGTTAATACTGGTTTTAGAATGGCTCAGATGCTTCCATGTGGTTAGAGGACCCACTACCATGCTCACAATGTTACATGTGGCATTGATGCTTTGCATGGATGGTCTTATTTGTAGAGTGTCACATCTTGCAAATTTCAAATTCAAATTCAAAATCCTTTATTAGGCATAGCACACCACACACTAACAGAAAGACATCATACACAGACTGTACAAAACACGGGCTCAGCGAACACAATTTATCCCAGACCTATTCCTGACTCCAGGAAATAAATTGATGTACATAGATAATACAATACAACACAGCGACATCACCTACCATTAAAAACCACTAAGTCTCTCCATCATGGCCCATTCTCTCTTCATGGACAGCATTCAAAAATTCAGCCGCTATTAAAGTAATTTGGTCATCGCTGTCCGCCAGCAGGTCCTGAACAGTTGGTTGTGTAAAAATCTGTTTATTCAATTTTAGGGCCTCAAATAATTGTTTTCTGGCATGACTGCCAAAATCACAGGAAAAGAATATATGCTCTAGAGTATCGGGTTCCTGTTTTCTGCATTTACAGAGACGCTCTGATTCTGGGATAGCTAAGTATCTTCCTCTCACTACCACCGAGGGAAACATGTTAAATCTGGCCAACATAAACAGCCTACGCGATTCATGTTTCTTCAGATTTGTCATGTATCCCTTTTGGAAATCTCTACACAAAGGGAGATTTAAGTGGATAGGAGAGCAGGTGCTGTGCTTTGCAACCTCAAGCATGGCGAGAACACTTTTTTCTGTGAGGGTCTTCCTGATAATTTCCCATGTTTCTTTGGGATCAGAGATTTCAAAGTCAGTTAGAGTGAGCCCTATCGAATCCAGTTTTCTCTTACAAATCAATGATAGATTGTAGATTGCACTATCACTTAAAAGATCGTAAAGTAGAGAATTAGGGGATAGGGCTCTATAATGGAGGAAGATCCAATATTTCAAGGTCCTCAGCCATGCTCTTACTGATAAAGGCAATATTCCCAGCTCACAACATATTGTTTCATATTTTACAGAGTTTGCAAGTCCTAATAATGACCTCAGAAGGGATGCGTGAAATTTATCCAACCTCTTGAGGTCACCTAAAATCCACACTGGTGTGCCATATAGAAGTTGGGCACACATTTTCATGTCAATCACTTGCAATACAGCTGGAATAAATCTGTTTCCTACTGGAGAAAAAAAATAGGATTTGATATGGTGGGCTGTCACTTTGGCCTTGACTATTGCAGCACATATATGTGTATTCCAATTCATATTATTTTTGAATGTGATTCCCAGATAATTGAAGTGCTTAACTTCCTGTATTAAATGTCCATTAATTATATAGCCTTTTGGGTTCCCTCTCTTTCCGAATTGCATAATCTTTGTCTTATCATAATTAATTTTAAGATTATTGAGAGAGCAGTAGTTTGAGAAACTCTTAAATAATTTTTTTAAACCCAAAACAGAGAGTGAAATAATTACAGCATCATCTGCATAGAGTAATAAAAAGAGTGGGCTATTGTTTAAATAAGGAGTATGAGTGGTTGCGTTTTGAAGAAATAATGGTAGGTCAGACAAAAATAGATTAAATAGGGTAGGGGCCAAGATACAGCCTTGCCTAACTCCTCGATTATTCAGAATAGGACCTGCAAGTCTACCATCTTTTGATACTTTAACATATATTTGGTTATTTGAATGTAAACTTTGAATCAGTGTAAGTAGATATGGGTCGATACCAAGGTGTTCTAGTTTAGTCCATAGTTTGTTGCGGTCAACCGAATCAAAGGCACTTTTTAAATCCACAAATGCCACAAAGAGTTTTCGTCTATTTCTCATGACATATTTATCCACAAGATGACTTAACACTAGACACTGGTCAAGAGTTGACGAGCCTGCCTTAAAACCAGCCTGCTCTTTACCAGGTAGACCTTTTGTCAGCATCCATTCTTCCAATTTAATAAGCAGAGATTTGGCATAGATTTTACTTATGCATGGTAACAAACTTATAGGCCTGTAGTTCTCTGGGCAATTCCTATCACCTTTTTTAAAGATCGGTACCACTATTGAGTTGTTCCACGACTTAGGTACAAGGGCTGATTGATAGATAGAATTAAAAAGCGGCACAAGTTTTATGGCCCACCATTCTACGTCTAATCTCAACAGGTCTATTGGGATGCCATCCATACCAGGTGATTTCCCTTGCTTAAATGAGATAATTATCTTTTTCATCTCCTCAACAGTAATTTGAAATTGTGTGGTTTTTGCCAGAGAAAATTTAAAATTTCCCTTTTTACAAACTTGGTAATCATAAAAAACAGCAGTAAAATGTGAAATCCAAGCCTCATCACTTATATTAGGGAGATCGGTGATATCTTTTAATGAGAGAAGTGACCAAAAAGTTTTGGTATCTTTAATTTCTAATGCAGTAACAATTTTAGACCATTTGGCTAGTGCGAACTCAGATTTTTTTTCCAGGAGCATGTTCTTAAAAGCATTTTTCATTTCAAAATAAGTCTTCCAGAGACCTTGGGAGTTGGTAATATAGGCTTCTTTTAGACAAGTTCTAAGTTCTTTCTTATAGTTAATACAGTCTTTATCAAACCAGTTATACTTATTTAAAGGTTTGTTGCTGAACTGAGGGTTTAAAAAAGAAGAAAATAATTCCTGGATAGTCTTGTAATAACAATCATTGTCCTCCACGGGCATCAAATTTTGGTTAGCCACAGATTCAGGAATAGCTGGGTTAATTTCAAATACTGCTAATAGATCCTCCCTATTTTTATCACTTATATAAATTCTTTTGGCATAAATAGTCTTATCCATACCAATCATAGGACAAATATCATAATTTCTA